TCCTTTAATGAAAGATTGTAAAAGGAGGAAAAAAAAGTGAAGGCTACAATGAGGAGAAAAAAGCTAATTTTTGTTGTGACAACATTTAAAAAAGTATGTTAGTGTCTTTAGAGCTTTAGGGCCTTTCCCCTTTCTCCAAAGAGGTTCACAGGTCATTGAGAATATGTTGAGGTGTCTTTTGGGTTTTTCTCACATGAGAGAAAGGCAGGTAACAATAGTCTAATATTCATCTTTTTTAGGAGCAAACAACACCAGGGATTAAGCTATTAATACAGAATGACTAAGAAAACACCTCCCCAAAATTGTTAGAATAAATAGTCAAACCAAACAGTATAATAAAAGCAGAGTGGATTGATTCAATCAACATTATCAGAGCAAGAGAAAGGAAGAAATAATGTTCTGGTTTTAATGGCTGGGAGAGAGAGAGAGAAATATCCAAATTACTTTGTAGGCACTGGTAGCACCCTTGCAATTTGTTCTTTGGAACATACTTTTAAGAAATAACTGGGCCTTGGGTTAGAAAGAATTAAGACTATGGAAGGTTTTGTGCAGAACTTCCCAGGTTTACAGCTGCCTGGAGGTTCAGCCAGGTAGCTGGTCGCTGCAGCTTCGCTTGGTTCTCATCTGGCCCAGAAGACACTAAGAATATCACTGGGTTAGGTGCCTAGGGGTGCTGGTGGATAATGGCCATGGCCTAATTCTCGGGGAGCCATGGACTCACTGCAGCATGTTCTAGCCATATGTGAGCCCTGGCCATGTAGGAGGTTCCCCTAGGAGGAGGAGAGGAGCCACACGATATGGTTTATGCACCACTTTTTATTACAGCAACCACATTCAAGCAAGCCAGAGCCTAGCTTTCCCAGAAAGGTCTACAGGTTACAGAAACTGCATCCTGATTCTCTAGCCATTGGATTTTGAAAGGCAGCAAAACAGAGTGTTGGTTAGTGCCTACAACACATAGTCTTCATCTTATGGAGGGCTCCAAGATGAAAGGAGATAATTATGCAGTCATAGCATGGAACAGGGAAACCTTAAGGGCTTTGCTCAACCTTCTAGGGTTTGCAGCCATGGCTATGCTGAAGAATTAGTCTAACTGAACCCTCCAAGTGATAGAAAACTCACTTTGTCATGGCATCTCATAAAGCTGGATAATTTTTCTAATTATAACCCTCCCCATGAATCTCATTCCAGCCTTTGCATGCTGGCTCAACCATCAGCACAATTTCATGCTTTCAAGTATCTTGTGGCTGTCAAAAACCTTTGTGTTTGAGATGAATCTTTCTATGAGTGTTCTTATAGTTTTGGGGGACCCTTTCTGTAACCTAGGGGTCTTCTTTCTGTGCTGAGTCTTTGATCTCCTCCAAATATCCTTATCCAATTATGATCAACCACAAGTGCCCATTAAGTCATACTCCTTACAGGTCAAACCAAAGCATTGGTATTTTTAAAGCCCCATCGTCTTGTTCTCAGAAATTGGTTAACCTTTCGAAGGTCATACTATGGAATTAGACATCTTAGATTTGAATCCTGATGCTACCACTTGGGCAATTCTCTGTGTTTTTGTGTCCTCATCTGTTACGCAGAGATAATAACAGCACCTATTGCAAAGATTGTTGAAAGAACTGTATGAGAATACACAAAGACTAGAAGAGTCTCTGGCATGTAGGAAGTGCTCTACAAGTTTACCTCAGAATTTAGGATAAGGTCATGCAAATGGTAACAGAATATTGGTGGCATTCCACAAGCCAAATGTTGTTATAGCACTTCACAGGTACTATTCAATATATTTTTGTTGTGTTGATCCAGTATAAGAAAAGTGACATAGCAAAATATGCTTTGGGACCTCTTTACTTAGACTAGGACTATTGTCCCAGACCACCCACGTAACTCACATCCTGGTGAATTCCCTTCATACCCTGTCATCTCATATTTCTTCTTACCTCCCATCAAAATCCCTTCCAAAGTTCTGCTACAAAAGTTCTGTACATTTCAAAGCATTCAAGATGACTAAATTAAGAGCTCCATATCTTTTGTTGCCTCTTGCTAATCCCAGTGCCTACGGATGAGCTAGGCATGTAAGTGATGCCTAGTAAATTCTTCATAGAACAAGTTAATTAACCTAATATACTTATGCAAGAGGGTGAAGAAGACTGAATTCCTGTGAATGATGGGGATGGTGAGAAAATGCTACAAAATGCCTACTATGTGCTATGAACTTTATGCATCACAAAATTTTCAAAACCCTGGGATATGGGTTTTCATGTAACCTTTTGCTGTGTAAAAACAAATCATTCCTAACAGTTAATGTCTGAAAGTAACAATTATTTTGCTTCTTGACTTTGTAATTAAATGGAGGCATTGCAAAGACAACTGCTCTCTGCTTCAAAATGACTCAACAGAGGATTGGAGCATTCACTTTCAAGACAGCTCATGACGGAACCAGCATGTGGCCTAGGCTTGTCACTCAAAGCCTCAGGCTAGCTCTGGGTTGAATGGGTTGGAAAAGAGAACTCTTGCCATGAGACTACAGCTCTCTCTCTCAGCCTCTCCACTCTTCATTCCAAGGGGAGCAGTGTCTGTGCTTAGGGAGAAGCCAAGCAGAGCAAAAGATTTCAACAGAGAATGGAGGAAACACACCCACTGGGGTTCTCATAGCAACATAATCATACACAGGCAGCAGCCTATTTCGGTGGGAGCCTGTCTCAGCTTTCCTCCTCCCTAGTTGGTCACAGAATGAATGCGTGGCACAGGCAGAAGCAGAGTGGCGTGAGGTTAGAGGAGAGTGTTGGACTGAAAGTCGGGAGGCTGGGGAGCTGCTCTCAGATGTTCCTATAGTTGGCTGAAGGATCATGGACAAATGTCCTCTTTTCTCTGATCTCAGGGCCCTTATTTGTCAAATTGGAGGATTGGACTAAAGAGTTATGAGGACACTTTCCTTTCTGGTTTTATTTGGACCAGTAGTGAGACTCTTTTGTTAGGGAGTCAGATGTCTTAGGATCTTTTGTCCCTGAAAAAGATACTTAGAGAAAACGGGGTTCAAGAGGGTGAAATAATTCTTCTGATTTACCTTATTTATCCCCCTACCACTTTCTACATGATAACAGGATGTGAAAGGTAAGGAGAATGACCAGGTGTTGCCAAAAGACTCTGCTTACTCACCCCCAACACTAATCCAGGTCTGTGGTCTGAGAAAGAAAAAAAGGTTAGGGAGGTTAAGTTCATTTTTCCCCCCACATTTAAATGTGCTCCTTCCTCAACATAGACACACACTGCCATTATCCATCCTCTTGCCTGTTCTCTTTCGACTCTTCTTACTCTCCACCCTCTCCTCCTGTCTCCCTCCTCCACTTAATGCAATATGCCCTCTCTTTTCCCTAGGACCAGGCGATGAAGGTATCCTTAGATTCTGGCCCATCTCTTCAGTGAACTCTGGAGTTAGTTGAGGACAATCAGGCTCACACTTCCTGACTGTCAAAGGTGATATTCAAAAACCAATAGGACGCGCATGCGGGACTGATCTTCCCAGGTACATGCAGGGGTAAGGTGAAGAGACCTGGGATGCTCAGGCGGGCTTCATTTAGGTCCCTGTCTTTGGCCTGTGTGCAAGAGCTTGCAAGTGCAGCTGTCTTTGAAGGAGCCGCTCCAGTGGCCTGTTGTAATGGGAGAGGCAGGCAGTTTTCTCCCTCTGCCTTGTTCCATCTCCTAACAGCCTGACAGATGGCCGGTAAGACAGGGGGAGAAAAAACTCTCAAAGTGAAGACAGGAATGCATTGTATAAAAATTCACACCCCCTGCTGCCGCCCAAACTCCTTAAAAAAGGATCGAGAGAATCCTAATGGGTACGTGACATCCTCTGTCTCTCCATAAAAGGGACTTCAAAATCTGGCGACGACGGGGGAGAGGTGAGGAGAAAGAAGAGGATTTGGGGTTGGGGGGCAGAGCGGCTACGAGGGAAAACTAGAGTAGAGAAAGCAGGACCGCAGACTCTTCCATTCGACTTTCTCCCACCCTCGTTCCCAAGCCACCTCTTGCTGAACCTTCGCCCCACCCTCTCAGTCTCAGAGAGGCTTGGAGCTCAACGTGCCCTCGATTGGGAGAATGGGAGAAAAGGAGCGATCATGATACCACACTTAGTTCTACAGTTGAAGGAGCTAAGGACCCTCCCTCATCCAGACACCTAGCCCTTCGCTCCCCAAACCTTTCGCTAAGGCAGGATCCAGCAATCGACAGAGGAGCTGGAAAGTTGGGGGCGGGGTGGGTGGGGGCGAGGTAACTGTGGCCCAGTCGTGCCCAGAGCTTGTCCTCGGTAGGACGACCCGGGTCTAAGAACCTGCCGGAGTCCAGCTCCGGCGCCTGCTTTTTCCACACCTGCCGAGTGGCCCTGCAGTGTCCGCGCAGCCCTTGCTCCCCAGCCAGTCGTCCGCTGCGCCGGGGAGTGGAGGCGGCGGAGAGACCCCCGCAGCCCCGCGGAGGGGGCCCCAGGTCTGCGCCCCGCCGCCGTGCGCTCCGCCGAACTTCTTACCCCGCCCCCACTCACCCCGCTCAGCCCCGGGGAGAGACGCGCAGGAAGCGTGTTGCTTCGCCGGGCGGATCCGCAGAAGTTGAGAGGAGTTGGCGGCAGCCTCGGGCCGGCCAGAGTCCGCGAGCGGCCGGGGAAGAGACGCCGCCGCCGCCGCGGAGCCCTCCGGGCCGCCTCCCTCCTGCCGAGCCCGCAGCGCGGGTGGACGGGGCGGGGAGGGGGTCGGGCGCGCGAGAAGAACTTGAAACTGTGTGAAGGAATCCGAAGCAGATGAGAAGGGAAGAAAATAAAACAAAGTGGAGGCTGCAAGAAAGACTCAACCGTGGTTGATTGTATCGGCTGATTCTCCGGCAGAGGGGTTGGGTTGAGGGTTTTTTTTTCAATTTTTTTCTTCCTCCCATTCTCTCTTTCTCTCTCTTTTAAAGCTACACCAGCTCTCTTTCTCTACTATCTTTGCACCACCAAACCCTTGCTGGCTCTTATGGGCATGAAACACTCCTCCCGCTGCCTGCTCCTAAGGAGGAAGATGGCGGAGAACGCTGCCGAGAACGCCGAGGTAAGGAGGCGCGGGGCCGGGCGCTCCGCCGCCCGCCGCCCGCCGCCCGCCGCCCGCCGCCGCTCCACACCTGGAGCCAAACTTTCCCCAGCTCCGTCTGGCTTGCTTCCGCCGGCCTTGTGCGTGTGTGTGCTGGGGTGCGGGCGACGGTGCACTTCTCAGGTCCCCCCCTTGGAAAACGCCAAAGAGTCGCTCTCTCCCCGTCTCCCTCTCCTACCGCCCAAGGCTGCTTGCGTCTCTTTCCCCCGAGTCCTCAGTCCCGGGCTGCCGCGCTCCCCGCCCCCTGCCCTGCTCCGTGAGGGCTTCCGAGCGCCGGCCTCGCGCAGAGCCGGTGAGGCGCTCCCTGCAGTGCCCTGACTGTCTCCTTCTCCGCCCCAGATTCACCCTCCAAACAGCACCGCGGACAGCTCCCGGCCGTGCGGGGCCCCGCTGAGCTGCTGGTGGTGGGACTCGGGCACCATCCACAGACCCTCTGGCCGATTCGGGTGCGAGAGGCCTGCCATCGGCGACTGTCAGAGCCGTCTTCTGGGCGCTAAGACCGGGGAGGGGGTGCCAGCCGCGGCCGCCTTCAGAACCAGGGACAGCGCCCGCTCCTGCGGCAGCGGAGCCCGCGCCCCTGTGGTGGCTGAGCGCCGCGGGCTGCAGCCACAAATGAATCTGCAGCCACTCGTCCCGCAGCAGCTCTTGAATGTCGCTCTAGCTCCTCACATTGCACTCCCCCCCCCCCCCCGTCTTTGGCAGCCCAATAGCTGCCCTTTCTCTGCGCCGAGTTGGCCCTGAGCTGCAAAGAGCCCTGCTGGGTTTTGCGTCCCAATACTTATGACTGTGTTCTCTGGCCTCGCACTGACCCTCTGTCACTACATTGGACTGATTCTTAGGTTCCGGGCACCGGTGGTCACGAAGGGGATCAGCGCGGGCGGTCCCCTTACCTTCCTGGAGAGATGGGGAGCGGTGGGGGCGGGGTGTGCGGAGTGGGGTAAATGTGTGAAGATCATCCCTAACTCGGTGGCAGGAGAAAGGCAGGGAGCAAACTCTGGAGCTCTATTAATAGCTGGGTGTCTGGTGGGGCTGCCATACATTTCACATATGGTCACCCATATGCAGCGTGGGGCAAGGATGGAGGTGTGGTGCGGGGAATGTCTCTGTCTTTCTGGAATGCAAAAAGGTGCAGAGACCCTTCCCCGTTCTTCTTCCTGTGAAGTATGAACTGCCGCTAACCCCTACCCCCACAGCGTAGGCAGCAAAGCTTTTTAAAGCCCCATTCCCGGAGAGACTAGAGGCAGCATGCATCTGGCAACTGTCGATTTTGAAACAAACACTCTCTGGGGCTTGAAAACAGTAGGATATCCAGTAACTAATGCCTTCTCCCTGAGTTAGGGCACAGCCAGCAAGCCTGCTGGTTTCCCTGGACACTTGTTCTTCCCCACCGCCACCTCCACCTGCGAGTACACATCCTGAATGATGTGCAGTGCAAGGCTCTCAGCCTCATAGCGGAGAGCTAGCCTTACCGATAGGCTTTGCCTTCCTCTCTCTGATCGCCCACCCGAGAAAGAGGTTTCTCAAAATAGCTCTCAGTCAAGGCTGCACTTCTGTGAAGTGTTGGACTAGGCACGCGGAAATTCCTGCAGCTAGGTTGTTGGGTTAAGGAGTAAGAAACAGCCCCCCCACTGCTCCCCACTCCTGTCCCTCTCAGTTCCTGGGGGGGGGAGTTCTCTAGGGTTTCAAGCCCCTACACCCTGGCTGTTGCGAGGGGTCTTGGCGCAGCCCCCTGCTGGGTTCCTCTGTGTGCAGCCCTAGCTGCTGAGCCCCCCCACCTCATCCAGGATTAAAAGCGTCCGGAGCAAGCAGAGCCACACGCGCCAGGCTATTTTTACTTGCTCCCCCGCGGCTCTGCACTCCCCCTTCTGAGCAGTTGCACATGCCAGCCCTGCTCAAGGCATCAATGAAAATAGCAGTAAAGGCCCTGAGCTCCTGCAAGAGGAGGGGGGAAAGCCCCACGTCGCTATACGGCGGCAACGAATGGGGCTGACCCATGGTAGCTCCTTACAGGGGAGTGAGTCTGGGGGTTCAGTTCTTAGCAACTTCCCTGAGAAGGGGAGAAATTCAGACCTACCCAATGTTCACATGTGTCCAATGAAACCATCCAGGCAGCTTGACAATCACTTGGTTTTTCTCCAGGAACTGGCTGTTTTGGAATGAGCCAGGGCTAGAGCAGTACTTTCAAAAGTGGGGAATGTGGTTTTGCCTGCATGTATGGTGGGAGAGAAGGAGGAAGACATACCTCTGTGGTTGTGTGTGTGCCACACGGATGGTGGCAGTGGTCCCTGTTCTCAAACAAAAATGTCTTTTATCAAACACTGATTCTGTATTAGGAATAATTTGGTGCCCTAGAGCTAAAGATGAAGACTGCCAGGTCTCTTGCCTTCCAGGGACTCACAGTCTGGTGGACATTGGTGCTAGATCATCCAGATAATCCTGTGCCATCTTTTCCTGCTTTTTGTTGGTATTGTTTGCAAGCACGTTAACCTCCTTTCATTCTCACAATAATCCCGTGAGATAATCAAAGGTCAGCATTCACTTATTTTTGTCCCCACTTTATAGTTGAGGACACAGAGGTTGAGAGGTCCAGCAATTTCTGAAAGTCATCTGGCTGGCTAAGTCAGCTGTGGAACACAGCTTGATCCCACTTCTAATCCTTTGCCCTTTGCCCTACATTTGCACTTTCAAAAAGATACCATGGGTGAATGGGAGTAGGTGAGGAGCCAGCCAGGAAGAGAAGGTTACTTCAGAAGCGAGAGATGAATGTGGAGGTAGGCAAGGGAGATGGGAAATACAGATAGGGAAAGATACCCTAATTGTTGGGCAAGAAGGAGAAAGTGAAGAACAAGACTACTTTATTGTGAGCCAAACCTTTCTCACCAAGTAAAATCTGGAGCTGGGGCACGGTTGGCACTGGGTGGCCCTGAATGCACTCTTTGACCACTTTGGTCTCAGTTCCTTTAACTTGAGCTGACTTTCCTTACAGATGTAAGGAAATGTGGGGACCCTGGCACATGGTAAACACACAGCAAGGTTAGTTCCATTCTGCTTTCTCTAGCCCCCTCAAGTATGCTTTTCTTCCTCTGCTGAGGGCATCTTCACCCAGCCAAACCCACTCTTATCAGCTTCTTCTCCTTCTCCCCTGTTCCCTGCACATCACCAGAAGCCTTCTGATATGGTCTTCTGAAATGTCTGCAAAACTCCCAGTCTAACCCTTTTTTTGTACTCCACTCTCAGTGCCTGAGGCAGGTCATTCTCACCTCTGTCCTCACTAAGGCAGTAAATAGCTTCTCAACTGTTGGTCCTTTTCCCCAATCCAGCCTTATTCTCACTGCTCAATGGGCTTTCAGAAGCACAAATCTGCTTATGATCAAACATCTTTTTTAAAGTTGACCATGTCACCCTATTGCGTATAGGACACAAGATAAAGCCCAGTTTTCTTAGCATAGTGTAAAGGCCATTCAATACTTGCCCTGTGCAGTTCTCTGTATAGGGTGGCCACTGACATCATGCCTGAATGTCTTTGTGCATACTGGGCCTTCTGCCTGGGCTGCTCTCACCCACTTTCCTCTGGAAAACAATATTCCTCAATCTGCAGGCCCCAGATCAGAGGTCACTCAATCTGGGCCACCTTTCCACATCTGCCATTTATTCTCCACTCCCATGGAGAGTGAGTGTTCCTTCTCTTTCTTGTTCTTTACATCTGCCTCTCACTTTTCCTGTTAAAGATATTTGGCTTCTTATATGTCTATTTCTCCAGTTAGATAATGAACTTTAAAAAATGCCCTGTTAACACTGTGCCTAACACACAGATATTCATTAACATAATAAATGTTAATGAATAGCTTCTGAATTGATTCACAGAATTATGAACAAGCTCACAAGCCTTTTGGGTTTTAGCCACTCGTGGCTTTCTGAAAATTGGGCCTCCTATCTTCCGCCCCTCTGCTATACTTACATTACTGTGTATCTTTAAAATGCAAAGTGAGTAAATATTCTTGGAATCAAGGTGCTGCAGCAACTCAAAGCATAGGTACATTTTGGTTATTCATGTACCTATTCAATGCTAGGTAATTACTGACTCTTACTATGTGGTATTCTTCTGAATGGCAGATAAATGGATTAATCACAGTGCCCAATTATGAACCGTGAGGGATAATGGACTCTTGTGAACTGCTGCTTGCTTTGCCAATTCTTGAAGAAGGTCTGATGCATTGTTGTTGGTGATGACTCCCTGATTGGGGTTTTAGCACCTCAAAGGAGAGCCCCAGGGGTGATAGAACAGTTTTAGCAGAGGAGTCATTTGGAGACTGTTTTTGAATGTTCTGTTACCTTACTGACCCAGGGAGAGAGGAGTTATGGATGGAAAAAATCCTACACTAGGACAGGGAGATTAGGGGTACAAGTGAGTGCTGCTCCGTGAGTCATGAGGAAGGAGAACTGAGCTGACTTCTGACATAGTGTATACTGGTGGTTTTAGCTAATGGATGCTTCTCCTCAGAAAGTTCCTTTCAGCTAAAGGGTCAAGGAATTGAGGAAGAAGAGGGCAAGAGGCAGCAGGACCCAGGCCTGCTTCCCTGAGGATATCTTCTTCTGAAGGGCATGGGGGCTGACTAACCATGTAGCCTCTGGTGCCAGCCTGCCTGGTTTAAAATCCAGCTCTGAACTTAGATATGTTGTTATGTTGAACATGACCCAACCTCTTGGGGTCTCATAAAGTTGTTGTGATGATTAAATGAATTAATTCACACAAAGGGTTTAGAACGTGGTGAGTGCTCAGTAACTGTTTATGATTATTATTCTGCTAGCTTTTGGAGGTCTTGCTGAAAAAGTACAAACTGGGTGAACTCTCCCACTTCCTCATTTCTTCGTGGAAATGATCCATAAACCATAGTCCACATCAAATTTTTCCACCCTCAGCGAACACCAATTTCAGCCCCTAAGTGAACTCAGAAGAATTA